GGAAGCTGCCTATAGTCTCCATTGTAGTTCCTTTTTGGGGATACCTTATAAAACTCCTTAATATATAACTGGTTAAACCAAAAAAGGAACTACAAGGGAGACTATAGGTGGAGGACAAACGAAACCAAGAACAGATCGACAGATCATTCCGAAATTACTTGGGTAGTTCTCAAAATTAGGATCCCATTTTAGGTCCCCAATATAGTACGACACCCTTATACCCTAGAAGGGACCCTAATTTAGAGAACTACCCACATGCGACTTAGGGTTTCGGGTTGGAGGGTCTTGGGTAAAAACGGCTGAAGGGTCTCAGCGTGCGTTTCATCTGCGAGCTGCAAATCATGACGAAGGTAGCATCCACCAGTTCATGCTTTGCACCCGGGTGCGACCGGTCGACATACCTAGGCTATTGAACGAGGCACTCAGATTGAGAAATGATGCCCCTAAACCCTAAACCCCTAAACCCTAAACCCTAAACCCCTAAACCTTTATGGGCTAAGAGACACGCAGCGGCAGGTCCGATGACAGGCAATGAGGCTCCACTGCTTCTGAACGTTTAGAAACGTATGTGGGGGGTTTCCGAAAATAAGGGACCCTAATATAGTGCTCTAAATACTGGAATCCTTATTATAAGGACCCCAAAATAAGGTACCCCTTATTGTCGGAAACTCCCATGTAGTTGCAGAGCTTCATGCTCGGCCCCCAAACAAAAACGCAACCTTCCAAGTGTGGTCGGGCTACCAATGTATGAGGCTATCGTACATGGCATAGGACTAGGATGTTCTAGTCTGGTCTGGTCCATCGTCTAGTGGAGCGCAGTCTAGTGCAGTAATGGCACAACAACATATTCCATAGTGCTCTGTAGTATATCACCTTACAGTACTACATGGTACCATAGGACATCGCATTCTTTCATACTATATCGTGGCCGGAGGTGGACATGAATGGCACAAGCTCCCCCAAATGGAACTGAGTAAGCCTCCTAGATAGCTCGAAACCCCACACCAGTAATATGAGGATCTTCCCCTAGGCCTCCAGTTATCTGAATACTAGGTGACTAGGCTACATACTAAACTGGTTAATATATTAGCCTTAAAAATTAGAATAGGGTTTGGGGCTATAGTATACTATAACTATAACTAGAATAAGGAACTACCGGAATAGTATAGGTATTTATCCTGGCCCCTGTGTTACTCACCTAGTATTGTAAGTCTCTCCATGTCCCAGACCCCCGGGAGGATCTAGAAAGTAGAACCCTTAATTTGGGACCCTATACTACTAAGGGCTCTTTATAGGAAGCCCCCCTTAAGGGATCTACTTTTTAAATTTTGGATCCTCCCGGAAATCTCGGGTCAGAGGGACTTTGCATCTGGTAGTTTTCAAAATTAGGGTCCCTTTTAGGGTCCTTCTTATAAGGGTGCCGTATTATATTGGGGACCTAAAAGGGGACCCTAATTTTGAGAACTACCCATATGGCCCTAAACCCCTAAACCCTAAACCCCTAAACCCTAAACCCCTAAACCCCTAAACTCCCTAAACTCCCTAAACCCTAAAAGGGGACCCTAATTTAAAGAACTACCCATCTGATTTGGGGTACGTTGCTTGGCAAAGGAGGGTCGGGCTCTGGAGGTTTTCCTAAAGGCCCTAAACCCTAAACCGTAAACCCTAAAACCCAAAACTACGGTTTAGGGTTCAGGGTTTAGGGTTAAGGGTCTAAAACCCTAAAGCCCTAAACCCTAAACCCTAGAACGTCTAGGGTTTTGGGTTGTAGGGGCTTTGGGGTTTCTGGAGGGTTTCCGGAGGGAGTTCTGGAAGGGTTTCAGTTCTCAAGTCTTTGTAGGACAGTACTGGTACTTTCTTCTTAGCATTGTAGTATGAGTATTCGTATTCAGTAGCATGAGTCGTAGTATGAGATATTTTATTGATTGATTCGCTTTTGTAACAGTGTTGCTGTTAAATTGGTAGTATGAAATATTATCTTGAGTGCCGGGATGTTCCAAGTTTATGGCTTATGGTCCATTCGCAGAGGTGGTGTTGCAATCTCGGACGTTTGCAACCTAGCTCCCTCCGTAGAACTGTAGCACCTAAGTTCCATAACCCCAAAGCCACTCTTGGAATTGTGTGCAGATCCGTTCGCTCACCCAGCTCCAGTGCCAGCACTAACCTCGTGTGGGCAGGGATGTTACGCTTTGAATATTGCAGACGAGCAAGAAGCGCCTCAAAACCAGACCCCAAACCCTAAAACCTAAACCCCAAGCCCTGATCCCTAAAGTTAATCAAACCCTAAACCCTAAATCCCATTCCCTAAACACCTAAACCCCAAGCCCTAAACCCTCAACGAAACCCGAAACTCATGTGACGAGCAGCGTGATCTGGTGGATATACAAGCTGGGAGTATTCTTCCACTACCCCAAGAAACGGTTGTGTTGAAATTATACCACCACACCCGTGGCATTCCTAGTTATTGGCATTTCTTGACAGCATAAGTATATAGAGACCGCAATGGGATGTGGTTCCTCCTGTTCCAACAAGAACGAAAGACCACAAGCATCAGGCGGGTTTTCCAACACGACGTTCGGTAGCTTAGGATTCTGTTCCTTTCGAGACTTTTGGGCTTAGGGTTACCGCGAGTCAAGCCCTAGCAACGGGAGCAATCTGCAGTTTAGGCTTGATGGCTTGCAGGAACAATAAACCACAAACCCTAAACCCCAAACCCCTACACCACTAAACCCCCAAACCCCTAAACCCCAAAACCCCGCTCCAAAGAGAAGCTTCCTGAAAGCCTCTGAACTCCCTATATTGGAATCTCGAACTTCGCACAAGCCTTCCCTTCGACTGTCCCAAACTGTCTGTTGCGGTCGATGATATAAATCCTGCATTATCCATAATAAGGAATATACCATAATCCCCATAGTCCCTAAAGTAATACAGGATTTACATCATCAACAATATCCCATACTCCTTATACACCGAGACCGCTTATCTTGAAGCGAACACCCCGCAGAGTAACTAAGTGGCCTGTTTAAAAGCAGCATACTGGTACAGCTATCGGTTCTCCGAGAACGGAGCCCTAACCGAGGGCCTTATCACTTGCAGCAATTGAAAAGTTCTCGGGTATGTAAAATGTACGCAGCACACAGGGACTACTGTAACGGATTCTGCTACTTGTTCAACCTGGAACCCACAAACACATAAGCTAAACAAAACGCAAACCTCCTGGTCTAGGACTTGGGGTTGCGGGTGTAGGTTTTAGGGTTTGGGGTTCAGGGTTTGGGTTTTTTGGGTCCGAGCCTGCGGTCCCAAATGCCCCCATTGTCGCCCCACAACCCAGAAATCCTAAATCACTCTACTCCAAACTTTTAAGAACCCCAAAGAATGTCCTTAAACTTGAAACCCTCAGTTAATTGCGGAAACCTCGGAGCCGTACCTGCAAACTCTAAACCCCAGACCCTAAGCCCTAAACCCAAAAATCTAAACCGGTCATCTCTGCGCATCTCGAAGTCTCGACCTTCGACAAAGCCAGGTGGCCCGATGCCACCTCTCAGCCCCGAATGCCAAAGCATCACCTCTGGGCAATGACGGTGTAGGGTTTAGGGTTGAGGGCTTAGGGTTTAGGGTTTAGGGTCGGTGTAGCTAAGGTTACAGGGTTCTAGGGTTTTGAGGTTACGGCTTTAGGGCTATAGGGTCATTGGGTTTATAGGGCCTAGGGCTTCAGGGTTAGAGGGTTTAAAGTTTTAGGGTTGAAACCTTTTAGAAGGATTTCAGGCTTTGGCGATCAGGAGGTGTTTGGTTCCTTTGTTTGCTTTTGTGTCGTGTGTGTGTGTGTGTGTGTGTCCATGGAGGTGGGGGGACTGAAGCAGATGCAACCCCTGGGTAAGAGGAATTAGGGTTCAGGGGTTTAGGGGTGAGGGTTTGAGGGGTCTCTTCCTTTAGGGATCCTTGCGATAAGGATGCTACTATCTAACCCTAAGCCCTACACCAACATCCCTCACTTTCCAAACTTCCGCATATCAACCTATGCACATCGAAACAGGAGCTTGGATGCGGGAACGGCGCTTCCAAAACGCTCCGAGGAGTGAGATGATATTTGCGGTGCTTGTGTAGGGTTTAGGGTTTAGGGACTCTTGAACCTTGACCAATCAAACCCCGTCTGTCTTAAGAGCCTGAATACCATCCGTTACACTACCATTGAAGATCCGGGGAGGGCTCTTAATCAGAAGTCTATGATACGGTTGATGGACAAAATCCTGCATGACCTTAAGGACCCTAAACTATGGGAATTATGGTATTCCTTATAGTGGGTAATGCAGGATTTTGTCCATCAACCGTATGTCAGTCTGGCAGGCCCAAACTTCCATATATCAAGGCCACTCTTCAAATCCGACGAAGCCCAGAAGAATAATCCCCAATGAAACGCAGGTAATGCATATTGAGGCACTGAGACCGCGACGCTATATGGGGGTTTTCGAAAATAGGGGACCCTAATATAGCACCCTAAATAGTACGATCCTTATTATAAGGACCCCCAGAACAAGCTACCCCTTATGTTCGGAAACTCACATATTTCTCAACACCAAACCCGCAACGCCGAAGACCCAACTTATGCAACTTAGGAGCCTTTGGCTCAACTTCACTATAGGTCCGAGCCACTTATTCTTAAAGCCTACACCACACACCGTATATATTTACGGGCCGAAGCACATTAAGTCTAACCTGACCCACTTTGTTTTTTCACCTGATCCACTTTAGGGTTCAAGGTTTTGGGCTGTCAGCCTTTAGGATGCCCCACACCCTTTTCCTTTAAACCATCCCCTCAGGGTCCATGTACCCAAATAGCATATACATTGGCCCCAAAGTACCTATATAGGGACTACATTAAGGCCAAAGTATCTCTATTTGGGTACATGGACCCTTAGGGATCAAACCTTAAAACCCTCAACCCATGAATCGAGGACTTGTACCGGCACCTGATGCTTCCAGGTGATGAAGTGGCGTCTTTCCGTCTCGATACGCTGGCTGACGCACCACCTCAGTGCCCGAAACCCTAAACCCCCTAAACCTAAACCCTAAAGCCCGAACTCGGAGCCGCACTCGAGGATTGGTGTTTGCATTAGCTTAATGTAGGGGCCTTCGTAATTAGAATAGGGGTTTGGGGGTTCCTTATTGTAATATTATAGTAGAATATACCCCAAACCCTGTTTTAATTAGTAAGGCCCGCTGGATTTGCCCATCAACAATGCGACGGACATGTGACCTAGAACTCATTGAAACAACCGATTTGTTGGTTTACACTCTTGCGTGCAGAAGTTCGGTGTTTTAGCGAATGTTCGGGGCGTGTGATGTCTTCCCTGTCACCAGGTTACAGGAATTACCAACGGTGCGCATGGAGACTTGCTACAGGAAAGCAGATCTCTGATTCATGTCCGTCCGCTCGTAGATGAATACGGTACAAACATTCAGACATCTACCCAGCGAAGTCATGTAGGTAGTAGGCAAATAATTCTACGCACGCCTACATGGGTGTAGACAAGCATGCATATACATACACATATATATATATATGTATGGCTGCTGATCTAAATTCCTTCATCCGGAATTACCTTCTTCCCGAAAAAGGCTTCTCTTTCGCAACACCATCGCGGAACTTTGCAGAGGCATATTTACATTCGATTACATACCTTCGCAAGTCTTAAGCCATACTTAGGCCATAGGTATAAGTCCAAATGAAGTGTAAAGCTTCCTACAAGCTTCTCTATGGCAAGCTTTTTACGGGCATTATCCTGAAGAGCTTCTGGGAGGCTTCCTAAGCGTTTCAGGGCTGCGTGAAAGCTACAGTAGTTGGAAAGGGCTGGTTAAGGCCGTCTTCAGGGTTGGATTGTTTACGAAGCCGTCTTAGGGTTCAGATTATTGACAAAGTTCCCTGGTTTCTCGATTGCGAAGATTCTGGGAGCCTTGCCTAGCGGCTTCAGGGCTTCCGTAGAGCTGCTTAAGGCTGTCTTAGGGGTTAGGTTGCTGATGACGTCCATCGGGGGTTGGGCTTGATCTGGCTACATCGACTTTATATATTGTATTATATTATATATATTAGATTATGCTATGTTATAGTACAAAATATACTATATTATAGTATGTTATATATATATATATATATATTGTGTCCAGGCAGAATCCAGCTTGAGACGTTCGGGCTGGAGTCTTGCTGGTGGGCTTTGGTCGCGGGATCCCCAAGACCAAAACTTACGAATTCAGTTTGGGGGCTTAGGGCTTGGGGTTTGGGATTTAGGGTTTAGGGTTTAGGGTTTAAGGTTTAGGGTTTAGGCTTAGGGCTTGGGGTTTGGGATTTAGGGTGTATATTTTTAAGCTTTACAAGGGTCAGCGGGGAGTTTAGGATTTATCCCTCTTCTTCCACAACCAGGCCCAAAAACGTTCAACCTTTTTAAGATAGACCTAACATATAAGGGCAAAAAGTTTAAAGTTCTCCCATTGGCTATGTGACTTATAGAGTAGATGTATAGGAGTGACATGGTTTTTGCCGTTTAAAGTTCTGGGGTTATGGACAAGCTTGATTGTTACACTTATATACAAACCCGAAACCCCATCAAAGCTCAAGGGTGCGTTTAGCCCCGGCACTTGATTGAGTTGCAGATCCAGGACATGGGGAAGACCGCCGCCGCGCGTGCAACCAGGCAGATCAGCATGACCTGTCTCCAATCGTAGTCTATGCAAAGCGCAGGTTCTTGTTGGGCAGTTGTCAAAATTATGGTCCCTTTGGGGGTACCCTAAATAATAGGTGCCGTATTATAATAAGGACCCCAAAAGGGACCATAATTTTGACAGCCACCCTGTTTGCAACGAAAACACGGTTCGAGTTGTAAAGACCCCTTACCAAGGCAAAGCTCAGTGTTCGAGCGCGTTTTGGGTTTAAGGCTTCTGAAGCCCCAAGTCTGCACCATGCGCCTACGTTCTAAAACTTCCCTTGAGCTCATGACCTCAAACCCAAGCAGCTGAGAAGCCCCTAAACCCTAAACCCTAAACCCTAAACCCAAAACAGACTCCAGAACCCCTGAGACCCCATCCACTGCAAAGCAGCAGTCAGTCAACATCGCGGGCGGGGGTTGCAGGACTTGAGGTTGCGAGTTTAACCCTAAACACCACATCCTGGATGTTAACTTCAGGGTTAAGATCCAAAAAAGCCCATGCCCTCTGAGGCTCGGGCCCAGCAGCCCATAACCAACCCCCTCTGACTGACATGGACCACCTGGAGGACGAGGGTTTCCGACTTGAAGCTCCATCTTGGACACTACGCTAGTCACTCGTACCCAGAGAACCCAATACCCCTTAATTAAGGCATTTTTGGGTAGATCGCAGTTCCCAAGCTTGGCGCAAGCTACACCAAAAGTCCTCTAAGTGCTAGATGCTGGCTAGACCTGGCTTGCGAAACTTGCGGCAGTCACTTTTGAAGCGACGTGCTAATCAGTGAATGCAAAAGCTGGGGTCTTGTTCCATATTCCCGTCCGGCAAGAGATCTGAGATCTACTCATGACCCTCGTTGCCTAGTATACCCTACATGGGATGGATGCGGGACCCCTCCCCCTGTGAAAGATAATCAGTCTTAAGGAGGCGAAGGGGACCTCGTTGCTATTTCTAAACAGTTTGGGCCTTGGACAACTACCACACTATATCGTAACCATGCTGGAGGCAGCACCTCGCAGCCACAGAAACAAGACAGGGGGCAAACACTAAGAACGGTGCTGGCCTGCCTATGACAACAAGATCGGAAGATCGCCACTTCAATGCTGCGGCAAGTTCGGCAATCAAGTTCTTCCCACACCCTGAGGCCCCCATGGCCTAAACCCTAACCCAGTGCAAGACCCTAAGTCCTAAATCACTGCGAACATGCTGGGTGCAGCCTCGACACACTTCTCAAACGTATGTTGCGGATTGGGTGCCATCCCAGCAAGGTAAAGCGCTTGAACAGGAGCATCTGCCCTCAAAAGCTTTAAACCTGAAGCTCCCTATCCTCCACTTCTCATGAAGTCTCCGGAAGCCTCGAAATGTCAGAAACCCTCAAGCTTTACCTAAAATCCATCAGACCTGAAATGAACCCAAACGCCCGCAACCCTTAACCCGATGCCTGACCACCAACCCCAGAATCCTCAACCCCAACACCCCTCAGGCCTACAACTTCTAAGCCCTGGAAAAGCTCGCGCAAGGCCTGGAGTCCGCAATTCAGGAAGACGATCAAGTCCTCAGCTCGTGTGGGGTTTAGGGTTTAACGTAGGGGTCTTAATAATTAGAATGGGGTTTTGGGGTGCATTATGCAAGAATTATAATAAGGAACCCCCAGAGTAGTTTTGGTGATTATTTAGGCTTCTACATTATGGTTTTGTTTCTGAGACAGACTCGCTGCTAGACAGGGGCGGGGGTCAACTTAGCAAAGCGTGCGTGCGTCGAATGCCTTCAATTTGTAATATGCATGTCCCAATGTAACGTTAAGCACCTCCAATCCCAGTTTTTTTATTTAGGGTCATATAGGATTTTAACCTAAACTTTAGGGTCAAGTAACCTTACTCAACATGCCAGCAAAGATGCCCCTACCGAGGCAGCTTGCTTCAGCAAGAAGGACGCGAACGTGGTTGCCTGCAGACGTGAGACCGCTGGACATTGCATGGTGCATGTTACAGCAATCATGGCGCTACCAATATAAGCTCCCGCATGGCTTGTTGCTTGCAGTGTTGATCTGGATCTTGCCACCAAGTAGTCGCGACCGTCGTCATAGCGTTTTGATTTGTAACATTGCGCCCAATGATTTCGGGTAGCGTAACGGCTCCGCGAACTGTGATCAGTAGTACTGGTGCTACTAGTACCAGCTTCGAACTATATTGCTGGACGGACTGTGCAAGCGGTTTAGAATCTGTGGTTTCAGGGTTGATGTGGTTTAGGGTTTCCGGGTGGCTATCCCCAAAATGGAACCTTGTCAGCATACCTTTCCCCACGTTAGGCTTGGCGTCCACCAGTCTACCAAGCCTTCTCTGTTCTGAAAAAGCAAACTTCAACAGAACCCAAAGCCAGTTCCCCAGAGACTCAAATACCCCTTAATTAAGGAATATACCTTAAACCATATTAGCGATCCTACTATAACTTAAGGTATATTCCTTAATTAAGGGGTATTGGAGTCTCTGGGTCAGCAAAAGTGTCAGACATGGGATGATACCCAGAGGGTCCATGTACCTAAAATAGTATATACATTGGCCCTAAAGTACCTATATAGGGACTACATTAAGGCCAATGTATAAACTATTTGGGTCATGGACCCTTAGGGATACAGCAGTCTGTGCCACCTCCTGTGTCAGATGCGGAGGCGCATAGGCGCCAAAGACGATGGAACCGAAAAGCACCTTGTGGCGAGACAGACACTGCAGCCCAACGATAGGTAGCAGCAGATGCAGCTGCAACAGAAGTCATGATCGGTCGTCTTGGTAGACGTGGCAGAAGCTTCCACAGATTTAACGTAGCTTGCCGCACCAATCGCGTCCCAAACCCCCAGACTAAAAACTCAACCACNNCCCCCCCCCCCCCCCCAACAAAAACACACAAATTCAGAAGTCCCCACGGCAGATTCAAAACGGCTGGGGTAAGAGCTTTGCACGACTGGATCCGAGCAGTCCGAAGCAATGCCTAAAGGCTTAGGGCTAGCCCGAGTGGGGAGAATGATCGGCCTCGAATCATGGCCTTTTCCCTTGAGGAAGGTCGGATCCATTCCCAGAGACTCCAATACCCCTTAATTAAGGAATACACCTTAAATCATGTTAGGGATCCTACTATAATTTATGGTATATTCCTGAATCAAGGGGTATTGGAGTCTCTTGGTTCTTATCCAACATTTTGACGCAGCTGGACCTTCGGGCTCTGGACTTTCAGGGTTGTTCGCTATGCTACTGCTCCGGTGCCCAACAAGTTAGCAAGTAAAAGGGTTTAGGGTTTAGGATTCCTTTAAGGGTTCGTATAGGGGTTTAGGGTTTCAACAATCCTGCTCAATTCAACCTCGGCACTGTGATGATGCCAGACATCTTGCATTGCTCGGCCAAGGCGTACCTGCGACGTCTCAGAAGAAACCAGCAGCTTCATCTCCCCAGAGACTCCAACACCCCTGAATTAAGGAATATACCTTAAATTATAGTAGGATCCCTAATATGATTTAAGGTATATTCCTAAACCCTAAACCCTAAACCCTTATAGATCCCTTTAAGGCCCATCTTCCTTAATTAAGGGGTATTGGTGGGCCACGGAGCCTCGCTTGAGAGCTCGGCCCCGATTCAGCAGTAGCCCCAACCCTGTACAGCCCGAAAGCCTGAGCCCTCCCCTACCTTAAGAACCCAAAACCTACTTTTTTGTAGGGTCCCTATAAATCCCATATTAGGGTTTATAACAAGAGCCCACAAAAAAGTGGGTTTTGGGTTCTTAAGGTAAACCTTAAACCCTAAACCCCTCAAAAGAGCCAAGACACATGGCAAAAGGAGTGAAGAGCCTCGGATCAAGATTGTCTCTTCCCGACAACCTATAAGGACCTCAATGATTAGAACCGGGTTTGAGGGATTCGTTGTGCTTTCGTTGTAAGAGGAACCCCAAAACTAGTAGTGTCAGTGAAATATACAGGCCCCCAAATAAAGGTGGTCGGGTGCCAGGCACAAGGATTCAGGGATGTAGGAAGCGAAGCAACTGTCTGCTGCCTTCCGGTGTAGGATTTAGCTTTTCGAGTTTCGGGTTCTAGGATACAGGGATCTGGGACGTAGGACAGAGGAATCAAATTTCAGCTGCAGGTTTTGCGGATTCGCTGCGCTGAAGATGATTACTCAGTCTTCTGCGGGCGATTCTCGCCTTGTCCGGAATTTGCAACCCTCAGACTCTTAAGCCCAAAGTCCCCAAAGCCCTAAGTGACCCGAAACCCCTCAACACTAGAGCCCCGTAAACCCTACAGTGCAGTTCCCAGACCCTTAGACTCTAGACCCTAAACCCTAAACCCGAATGAAAGGTTGGGCCACGGGATCGACCTGGCCTGTCCTGTGCCGGGGATTTAATGTCGGGGCCTCAATATTTAAGGTTAGGGCTTAGGTTTTAGGGTTTAGGGTCTAGGGTTGTGAGGCATATCAAACTATATAAAAATTGGTAGTTCTTTAGGCCCCTATATTTCCCTAAGGGTCCATGTACCCAAATTGTGTATACATTGGCCTTAATGTAGCCCCTATATAGGTACTTTAGGGCCAATGTATATACTATTTTAGCTACATGGACCCTCTGGGTTTGTGCTTGGGATTGGTGGATTTCGGGTTTAGGAACTTCCAATGACCCAACATCTGGAAGAAAGGCCTGAGTTCTGAAATCCAAGAGCATCTACAGCAATTCGGTTGATGGACAAAATCCTGCATGACCCTATATACCTAAACTATGAGATTTATGGTACTATACCATATTTGGGTCATGCAGAATTTTGTCCATCAACAATTCCCAGAAAGTTGGAACATGGGCTTCGGAGGATTAGTGCTAGAATCTCTTATGCTTTACCTTAAGGGCATGAGGCCAATCATGTCCCAACTTTCTGGCTTCTACTATACCCAGAGGGTCCATGTACCTAAATAGTATATACATTGGCCCTAAAGTACCTACATAGGGACTACATGAAGGCCAATGTATCTACTATTTGGGTACATGGACCATGGACCCTAAACCCTAAACCCTAAATACCCTAAACCCTAAACCCTTTAGGGAATATCCCACTATTTGGGCACATGGACCCTTAGGGGATACGAATTTCAAACCAGGCTACGGCCGAAGCCCTTCCCCCTCCGTTCGGCAACCCAGAGAACCCAATACCCCTTAATTAAGGAATCGACCTTAAACTATAGGGCCCTTAATATTATGATTTAAGGTATACCCCGTAATTAAGGAATATACCTTAAATCATATTAGGGATCCCTACTACAATTGAAGGTATATTCCTTAATTAAGGAATAGACCTTAAATCATATTAGGGATCCCTACTATAATTTAAGGTATATTCCTGAATTAAGGGGTATTGGAGTCTCTGGGTTCGGCAAAGAAGCAGAAAAAGGATGGCGTCCGCAGCGGAATGGCCCAACCGGGTCGCTCGCATGATCATGATCGACACCTTGGGAACCCTAAACCCTAAACTCTAAACCCTAAACCCTGAACCCTAAACCCTACACCCTATACCCTAAACTCTACACCGTAAACCCGCTTCAGGGGTCTAGGACTTCGGGCGTGCGGTAGTTCGCTCCGGAAGCCTGAAACCCCACTCCCTGCTTTGGGATCTGCTACCTCGGCATGAGGGTTTAGGGTTTAGGGTTTAGGGTTTAGGGTTTAGGGTTTAGGGTTTAGGGTTTAGGGAAAACTCGTCAGGGGACCCTGCTTAATTAAGGCTTTAGGCTGTAGTTATAATTTACGTTTGAGATGTTGAGAAATTGAGCTATTTCAGGGATTAGAGATCTTCGGGTGTAATAGTTTACTGTCATGGAGCTCTATTTAATGGTTTAGGGTTGAGCCTGTAGTCGTGGCATCTTCAGTGCCATGCAGCGCTTATTTGGAGGAGGGTTCTGTTTTTTTCAGAGGCAGCTGAAGACTTTGACAGTGCCTGACGTTAAAGCAAGAAGCAACATAGTTAGAGAGAAAGATGTTCCAGCACAGCTAGAACTTTTCTCATGGACACGTACAACCCAACTATTGGGGTTGATGGGCTTTGAACGTTCAGAGAGCTTGTTCAACCAGCCCCCTACGCTCTAAACCTAAGGACAACGCGGAGCGAGTGAGGCTCGTCCGAAAGTTCCTGACTGTGAACACAGACATGGGCAGGGTCTGAAGTCCTGAAGTGACACCGGACAAAAGTAAGTTGAGACTCCGATTTAGGGTTCAGAGTCTAGAACCCAGGCCGAGTCACAACTTTTGTTAAAAGGAGAACCTGGATAACTGCAGCGTAGCCACGCCGGCAAATGCGATACCCAGGCCCAGGGAACCAAAGAAAAGGACGAACACATGCAAGCCTCAAAGGCTGATTCGAGTATACAGGGCTGATAATATGACCCAACTTTCACTTTCAGGGAAGCCTACATCAGAGCAGTGGCACTTAGATGACTCTGTGCACCTGACCCGGAGAAGAACCAATCACTACATGTTAGACGGTTTCTGACTATTGCACACGACTCACAGTACATTTCCACGAAAAAAAAACTTCCCGGAACCCTAAAACCTAAACTCAGGTTATCAACAGACTCTGTCATACTAGTTTAGTCTGACACAGGCAACCCAACAATAAAACGGGTAAAAAGTGCTACTACGGGCGCCCCTATTGATAAGGTTTGGAATCTGAACTGGCCGTGAAAGGTGATATTACTACTGATTTTTGAGGCCTGCATACTGGTTCTTTCGTCTTGTGTGGCTTAAGCATTACGTCTTATCTGTGGTCGAACACTCTGATTCGCTGAGAGCTTCAGTGTTGATGTGTAGGTTTTGAACGTCGAGGCTCGAGGTCACTCTGCAGGTCTGAAGAACTACCCCAAAGGCTCCATGTACCTTTATAGTAGATACTTAGGCCTTAAAGGGGTCCCTATATAGGTACTTTAAGGCCTAAGTATCGACTATAAAGGTACATGGAGCCTTAGGGTGCTGAGAAATGAAATCCTCAAAGTCCCCATCTACTCAGTACAATAACAACAACCAAGACCCGATTCGCATGCTTGAGGCCCCAAGGGTTTAGGGTTTAGGGTTTAGGGTTTAGGGTTTAGGGTTTAGGGTTAAGACCCCTATGGAACCATTTGAAAACAAACCCCTGCAAACCCCTTTGGCAACCTCTAAAGTCTAAACGCCGAAACACATAACCACTAAGCCACTAAACTCTAAATCCTGAACTCCAGCTTAGGGGCTGAGTACCCCAGCCCAAAAAAGTTAACCTTTTGAATTCTAGCAGGGCTCTATACGCCCCAAGGGTTAAAGGTTGCCTACGCAGCCCCTAAACTGGTTTACAACCTGGTATTTAGAGCCTTGGCCCTGGCTGCAGCACAAGGAGCAAAGCTCACCGAAGCTGGTGGAGCCATCCTAGGAACTTAAGCAGACTTAAGCACGCTTAGAACCGCAATCAAAACAATATGTTGAATAGCCCCTTGGAGTGTTATAAGAACTCAATCAGTTCTTAAGAGCACTGAAAAGAAGCAGCTATGTTGGGTATAGGGCTTCAGTGTTTAGGACTGAGGGATTAGAAGTGCCATTCTTCAGGTCTTTGTATGGTTTGGGACTTAGGGTCAGGGCTTTAGGGCGCTGGGGCGTTTAGGAGTTTCCGAAAGTAAGGAGTTTCCGATAAGGGGTACCTTATTTTGGACTCCGTATAATACGGATTCTACTATTCAGGGTAGTATACTAGGGTCTCCTACTTTCGGAAACTCCCATTTAGGAGTTTAAGTTTGGGGAAACCCTCAAGCTCACTTCCCATCAGCTGGCACTGTACGCATGCCGGAACTCCCGGGAAGATCACAAAGGGCCTAAACCAGGGGAGGGCGATGGTTTCGGGCTTGGGGTCATGAGGGTTTAGGGTTTAGGAATGCAGTTTTTAGGAGATTTCAGGTTCAGCGAATTATTTGGGGCTCAGGGTCGGTGATTGACTCAGGGTCACGGACAGTCTCGATGTGGCCCAAGTGGCACCGGCGTTGATGGCCTCAAAGAGCGTGATGGCCACAGCATCGTTGATTTGGGATTCTCCAAAGACCTTAGAACACATGTGAGGCCCAGACAGACAGACTAAGGGGGTAGGTTCCTACTATAGCTTGTAGGATCTTAGGCCTGCAACAGGAGCAGTCCCTAAACCCTTAAACTCCCTAGAAGAGCTCGATGCTCGTGGCACAGGGACCTTGGAAGTTTTCGACTTCGATCCCGACGTGTCTCGACTTCACCTAGTTGCTGTACCCTAAATCCTGAAATCTAAACCCTACTGGGTAGGGGCTGTGCGAAATCGTCGCGCACTTCGTAGGCTGTAGGGGTCTGGGGTTTGAGGGCTTTACCGGACCGTGCTTAGGGGTTCAAGGGTTTAGGGTTTAGGGGTTTAGGGGTTTAGGGTATAGGGGTTTAGGGTTTGGAGTAAACTTGTTGGTGAAGCATGAAACCCTGTTTCTAAGGACAAAGCCAGGAATCCCGGCATGAATCCTCATCTCATGTGCCAAATTTCTAGTCAACTATAGGGTGTCTGCGGAGGATCCCTAACCCTAAACCCCTACAACCTTAAACTCCAAACCCTACCTTAACCCCTAGTAACCTACCATTTTAGGGACTTATCCACTTTAAACCTTGCAGTGCGCTTCTTTACCTGGCAATCCCGAATGAAACGAGTAACAAACTTACATCATGATTTAGAACCCTAGGCTTCCAAGCATCTTATAGTTAGGGCCCTAGACCCCTTAAGGACCCAATAATAAGGTCCCTGGAAGCCCAGGGGAACAGCTTCAACTTTCCGGCCAGCATGTACACTTCCAAGCTCCAGAAACCCTAAACCCTAAACCCTAAACCCTAAACCCTAAACCCTAAACCCTAAACCTTCCAAGCTCTAGAAACCCTTCAAGCCGTCAACCCGGTGAGTACCGGCTCGAGGCTCTCTGATGCTTTTCGGGTATAGGGTTTGGGTTTAGGGTTTAGGGTTTAGGGTTTAGGGTTTAGGGTTTAGGGTTTAGGGTTTAGGGTTTAGGGTTTAGGGTTGGGGTTCTACCTGGCGCAACTTGATGGCCGGCAAGGCGGCGCCAGCGCGTTCAGTTTTTGAGTTGCGTAATGTAGAGGCCCTAATAATTACTTATACTATGTTGAGATCCTTAGTCTAACTGCAGTATCATATATCCCAAAACCCTATTCTAACTATTAAGGAGATCCTTAGTCTAATTATAGTATAATAAATATATCCCAAAACCCTATTCTAACTATAAAGGCCCCTACATTACGGACAGGGCGGTGGTTTCGGGCTTCCTGTTTGCGTCGAAGTTTCGGGTTTGGAAACTTCTGGCTTCCACGTGATGCAATTTTTTTTAGGAGCAGTCTAGGACTTACCCAGAGAGCCCAGTACCCATTAATTAAGGAACATACCTTAAATTATAGGGGCCTTAATATTATAGTTTAAGGTATATATTCCTTAATTAAGAGGTATTGGGCTCTGGGTAGGGCTTTGTGGTGCGGGTGGGCAGCTCGTCGCAGGAGCCTAGTCTGAAACTAATTTCCCAAACTCCTAAACCCTAACCTGTAAACCCTCAACCCTAACTCCCAAACCCTAAAACCCTCTCCCTGCCAGGTGACCAGGATGAACAGCAAGGGGTCCACATTCATAGTGCCGAACCTCGAGCTGCTAACTCCCCCCAACCTCCTCATAAACGGTTTAGCTTGGTTGGTGGGTTTAGGGTTTAGGGTTTACTGCTTTTAGGCTTCAGGGTTTAGGGTCTAAGGTTTAGGGTCTAGGCTTTAGGTTTCAGGGTTTAGGGTTTACGGTTTAGGGTTACGTAACACCCTGAGAGGCCCTCTTGAAAGCCTGCGATACCCCCAAATCCCTAAACCCTAAACCCTAAACCCTAAACCCTAAACCCTAAACCCTAAACCCCAAAGAGCCGCAAGGAGGCCCTCACTCGCAGACCCTACCCCTACGGCTCAAAACCTGCACTTAATCTTGTATGGGCTTTCTGTCCAAAAAAGCCCAAAACACCCTAAACCCTAAACCCTAAACCCCTAACCTCTAGAACCCAAAAGCCCAAAACAACCAAAACCCTGAACCCTAAACCCAAAAAGCCCAGAACGTGAGTCCTTTCAGCCTGAGCCGAAGCCCAGTTCGGCGTAGACTACAATCCCTGGCTCGATCACTTTCCGGTTAGGGCTTAGGGTTTACACCGCGGTCCCAAGGCAAGTAAGCTCCAGAAATCACGTTACCGCAGATTGTCTTTATCAGCTATACACAACTGCAGTACCAATGACATGCTGTCGGCAATGTAGATGGTAGTGCTGATGCTGTTTCGGACATCCACCAAACCTCAGGAAGTTTGGCAAGGAACTACTGCTCTCAGGATTTTGGGCTTAATTAGGGCTTCAGGGCTAAGGTTTACGGCAGGGGCCCATCGGGTTTAAGTTTAGGGTTTGGGATTCGGGATTCCAGCTTTTAGGACTTATGACCGAGTAAATGTGCAGTATTTCGAGATTCGCCGCGCAGGTTCTAGGCAAAACACTGCACTGCAAACCGGGGCCCTGAAGACTACAAGCCCATGCCCTATCCTGAACGACAACTCCAGGCCCTGAACCTCAAAGACCTAAAGGGTCTAGGGCTTAGAGTTGACGTATAGACTAAAGCCGACAATGCCAGGCCTGAACCTCCAGGAAGCAGCTGAGCAACGTGGAAAGGGTAGCTACCGGGTCTGTCGATGAGATCAGCGATGCGAAGGCAAACGCAGTTCCTCGGCTAGGCCAGGACACGACAAACTTTGCACACGAAGCATTCAACGATATAGAGGGGCCTCAATTGTTTGAATCGCGGTTTGAGGGCATCTGATAGTATAACTCTAACAGGTATTATACAGGGGTTGTTTGGCTAAGTATTCTGACAAGGGACCCCAGCGGAACACTGGCACCAAGTGTTCAGGCCCAAATATTGGGAGGCATCCCAAGACCGAAAACCTCAAACCCGACACCCTACACCCTGCAAGCCCTAAATACCCTACACCCTACAAACTATAAATCCTAAAAACCCTAAATACCCTACACCCTAAATCCTAAACACCAACTACCATAAACACTAAACGCTAAGGGGACTGGGTTTGGGAGTTAACTACCCAGAGGGTCCATGTAGCTAAATAGTATATACATTGGCCCTAAAGTACCTATATAGGGGCTACATTAAGGCCAATGTATACACTATTTGGGTACATGGACCTTAGGGTTCAGCTTCGACCTTGTGACGTCTGAGAGCTGTGGCACTCAACATCAAAACCAAAGATCGACAAAACCCTACAGAACGCTGCTTGAGGCCGAGGGTTCAGGGCTTACAGTTTAGTGGTGGGGTTTAGGGTTTAGGGTTTGGGGTTTAGGTTGTTTTGGAAAACCTTGAACCCTTGAGCTATTCCTTTAAATCCTGAGCCCAGAGCTCTGAACCTATGGCCTTGCCTGCACCGGGGCCCTTCGATCTCACAGCCCTGTTGAAACCATGGGCATAGAGATTGCTGCAGGAGGCCTTAATGATTTCGGGTTTAGGGTTTAGGGTTTAGGTTATTAGAATAGGGTTTACGGGTCCTATATAGTATAGTCATATTACGGAACCTTAGGGAATAATATTGGTAGCTATTCAGGCTTCTATAAACAGGCTTCGGGTGTAGGGTTAGACATATCGGGTTGGTAGAGCTTTAGACCCGGGCTTCAGGATGCAATTCAAAATCAATAGGGCTGACCTGCATCTTGCACCCGGTCTTTGAAGCTTAAAGCCATACTGTAGTCCAGAGCTCATTTGCAATTCCAAGTAACTACAACGGAAATAGGTGGGGCAATTACAAACCCAGAGACTCCAATACCGCTTAATTGATTAATATACCTTAAATAATATTAGGGTTCCTACTATAAATTAAGGTATATTCCTTAATTAAGGGGTATTGGAGTCTCTTGGAACTCTGAGGAGCGTGCGGCTTCAGGTTTTGGGTCGACGCTAGGAAGGCCACGTCGCCTTTATCAAGCTCAGCGGCTCTGATCGGTGATCCCGTGGTACTGTGACGTGGCCAGCATGAGTTTTCCCACCACTACCTCTGATAGGGTTTAGGGTGCAGGGTTTTCATGATACAGACGAGAACAAACTACTAACAAGCAATAGCAGGAGGAATCATCAGCTGTAGAATGGTAGCAATTGTCGACACAATAATGATGCAATCAAGCAGCACCACAGCAGCAGCAGATTGGCCACCAGAAACGCTGTCTATGAACATGATCACAGCAAAAACAGTTGTGCTTTCTGACTTTGACGTGGTATATACTAACACTCATAACATCATCACAATAGCATGCTAATACCCTCTAGCAGACTCCTACCTACAAGAATGCATGAATTTAGGGCTTTTGCCTGCGAAAAGCTTCGACAGCCCGTGCTGGCTACTGCAGGCTGTGCCAGAAAGAGCAATTTAGAAGCCATTTTGCCCAGGCCATCTTTGCAGACAGCTGTGCCAAAACAATTTTAAATCGCCCTATGCCCAATGCCCCTGACAACAATGGACTGCTCGAGCTAAGCGCACGTCTCCGACCACTACAGCGATTTTATACCATGTCTGCACCTTTACACTCCTTAGAAGTCTCTCTTTGCGTTCGCCAGCTCCTAACCATGTGTCCCAGCCATTCCGTTAAGCTCTACAAATAGCTCCAATGAGTCCCAGCAGCCACAGATATGCTGGTGCCAACGATGGCTAGCAGTAAAATGTATCCGATCCTGGCTGGGCACCGGAAGAACAAAGTGTTTGAGCACATTTGAGCACTTATTTAGTGGGATCCAGGGCTCTCGGAGTTGGACTTTACGGTTTATGTGTGCGGCGGTGTGGGATAGGAATGTTTGGAGGCACAATAAGTGCTCAACTTCAGCCTGATCTTACCCTGCTGTGTACCAATCCGTATACGTATCTCCTGCGGTTGCTGGCTCAAGTAACCATCTGTGCACATGTCCCTACATACCACAATCAAGCTCAACGTCCAAAGCGGTCTATTGACTTGAACAATTCCTTGCGGGGACGGTTTCAACATGGGTGCCCCGCCGCTAACAGCAAGCACCAACATTCCCCACGGATAGGGGCACAACAACCATCGGGTTTGGGGGACCGGATGTACTCACGTGGGTCATCGAACACGTAATGTAGGGGAATTAATAATTAGAATAGGGTTTGGGGGTGTATCATACTCTAATCATAACAAGGAGCCCCAGAATAGTCTTAGTATATAGGTATTTATTTAGGCCCCTACATTACACGTAATCTTGTGGGCAATATGTTCCATTCACTTCTCGGGTCGAGACAGTGAAACCCCCATGAATCCCAACCTCCCTAGATCAGAGGTGCTTAGAGCGGCACTTAGCTGTCCGAGTTTCGGCTTTAGAATTCTGAACCCTGAAGCCTGAAACTCGAAACCCCCGAACCATAGAACCGAAGCCCTTAAACCCTAATGGTCCTAATCCCTGAGACCGAAACCCAAATCCTAATCCCAAAATACACGGGCCTTAAGAATTTCAATAGGGTTTTGGGGCCCAGTATACAATAAATATAATAAGGCACCCTAAAAATAGTGGTGGTAACTATTTTGGCCCCTACGTTAAAGCCCTAAACCCTCGCAGCTTTGGGGTTCGTGCACCGACCACAGAGTCCCCCCAAGAGGAGCTCGAGAGCTACTGTAGGGGCCTTAATGGGGTTTAGGGTTTAGGGTTTAGGGTTTAGGGTTTAGAATAGGGTTTTGGGGGACTCCTTAATAGAATTATAGTATACTAGGCCCCAAACCCTATTCTAATTATTAAGGCCCCTCTGTTAGAGTTCAGAGTTCAGGCTTTAGGGGGATAGCGGTTCCTGGGTGTAAGGTTTAGGGTTTAGGGGTCTAGGGGTTTAGGGGTTTAGGGTTCAGGGCTTTAGGGTTTGAGGGTTCAGGATTTAAGGTTTTGGGGTTTAGGGATCGCAACAACCCTAAACCCTAAACCCTAAACCCTAAACCCTAAAGGATCCTTGTGTAAGCCAAGGAGTCTCGGTTACAACTTGATCAGGATCTGCCCCGAATCGCCGAAATCCTAAAACCCCAAAATCAAGCCACGTGTATGTGTGTGCGCGTGCGTGTATATATAGGGTTTAGGGTTTAGGGTTTAGGGTTTAGGGTTTAGGGTTTAGGGTTATATATATATATATACATACACATAATTCAGGTATGAAGCCCTACAAGGTGTTGGGCTGGAGCTGTTCACTTGTCCAGTTTCAGCTTCATGGGAGAACTGAAAGCCGATGTCAACTAGCTGAATATGGGGTCTTAGTAATTAGTATTTAGAGGTCTCCTCTGCTAGTCATTATATACTTCTACTACCAATGGACCCTAAAGCCAGTACAGTCTCTATATTTTCTTACCTGTAGCTCTTATATGGTGGAACGATCTGCGCCCTAAGTCCCTAATCATTCCTATGTTACTAAACCCAAACTCAAAACTCAAGTACAACTACTAAGGCCCCGATATGGCTTTACTGCAGAGGACTTAATGATCAAAATCGGGTTTGGGGCTCCCTAATTCTATCATTATAATAAGAAGCCCTAAGGAATACTGTTCTTCTGATGGACTGTGGGGCTCCGAAAAGCGCGTCCTGAATTCAGGAGGATGCAAAAGTGAAACTTGGTCTGTGGTCCCAAAATCGGCAGGCGGTCTTTCGCTTGCCTTCGACCGACTTACCTGCCACATATTCTTCTACAGAGAGAACAAAGGCCGGGTCCGGATGGTAGAGACGCCCCAAATGATCAAGGCATATGTCCTCCCCTAGGGACTCCACCACCTCACGCGCAGTAGGCGCGGGGGGGCCTTGCGCCTGGGTGGCAACCTCAATCGTGGCGTAACTTTGCCATTGTCCTTTCCGCAGGCTCTTTTTGGTGGCTTTGAAGGAGGACTCAACCTCCCGCAACTCTTCATTGGTAAGCGGACGGATCACCCATGCAGCACGGAGGAGGCAGTCACCGTGCTGCTTGTAGTGATATTGCAATCTCTCCACCGACCCGAAATGCCGGAGGCAGGCAGGACAAGTGGATGAATGTGCCAGGAGGCGAGTGGGAGTGACCCTCCCATGGGCCCTGGCAAGGTGTACCCACAGGTGTTTTCGCAGGGTAAACGCGGAAGGGCAGTGCGGACAGGAAAAGGGGCGCTCCTCTGCAGCGGACACGTCCTGGGGGGGGCTCACCTTCTCTTGGTCTTGCCACTTCTGAAGATCTCTGGCCCACTGCTTGCACGCCTGTTTGAGCTGCAGGGTCCACCATTTAGGCCGGTCGGTAACCGCCTCGATAAGGGCTCTCACAGGACAGGCGGCAGCCATCAGCACCTGGGCGGAAACAAGGTACTGACTGGCATGTCGTATGTCCGCGGCAACAGCGCCAAGCCAGGAGGAGTCCTGATCGCACTCCCAGTGAGTCCAAAGCAACCGCTTAAGCGTCGCTGGCGCATTGTGAACAACCTGTCGCAACAAGGCTGACCTGGCAAGGGCAAGAGCAAGCGGAGGCGAAGGCGCAGCTGCCTGGAGCAGCGTATGGTAGGAGTGCGGATGGTGCTCCCCCTTCTGGCGCCTGTGGAGGGCTCGCCACAAAGCAACATACGTTTGAGCCCAGGAACGGAAATGCACCGCAGCGTGTAACGGCAGGATGGCGCTTCCAAACACAAAACGGGACAAGGCTAGGGACCGTAGCATCGCCCTTCTGGTCTCAAGAGGAATGCACAGCGCCGAAAACAGGCGGTGACGGAACGGCCTGATGGTGTTCCATGCCTGGGAGGCTCTAAAGGAGATCTCGGGGGCCGGGGTGCCCGTAACGGTGGTGATGCCCCCTAGGTGCTTGTACGCTTCGACCAGCGGCAAGGCAAAGTCCTTGAGCGAGACAGAGCTGCGTCCTGGTATGCACAGGTCACCTTCAACACGGTGGGGTTGCCACAGGGCATCACGCATGAGGGCCTCCTGGGACACAACCACCGCGGTCTTGTCTTTGGCGAACCCTAAGGTCATCCCGATGCTGTCTGCTTGCTCTACGTAGGCCGTAACAATGCCCCTGATGGCAGTGGATAGGCCTTGCGCCTCAGTCTGTTCGTGCATGTGCACGAAGTCGTCCGCCCATGCTCCACAGGAAAGACGCTCTGGGGCGCCCTCGGTGGGCCACGGTTCTTCGCTTTCTGCGATTGGTGTCACGGTAGCGTGGCCTGCGGCCTCGACGGCTTGGTCTGCACAGCGAAGATACGCCGAGAACGAGAAGGCGAACAAAATGTCCGCTAACCCGTCTCCAGGACGGGTTCCCTGATGCGTGAGCGTTAGGGCAGCCCCCCTATCTAGTCTAAACCATGTGCCCTGGAGTACGTCTGCTGTGATCGCACACAAGTGCTGGCTACTCACCGTTTCTGGAATAGTGGCCATGCGTCTCAATTGGCTGGCGAGCTCCCCTAGGGCTGCGGCTGGAAGACCCAGCTTGTGGAATAGGGCTCGGAGCGCCCGTTCAGAATCACCAACAGGGACGAGAAGCTGCCTGATGACGCAATAAAAGGCTGACTTCACATCGAAGTAGAGCAA